CGGGACGGCGCGGGGCTGCTGGTATGAGCTGGGCAGTCTGGGGGTGTGAGGCCCTGAAGGAAGGGCCATCCTGAGACCGGAAGTGTTCCAGCTGAGAGGTGACACCCTCACTCTAGGGTGGATTGCTCCAGGAGACTGGGAACATTCCCTGCTTCCTCTGGCCAGCCCCAGGGCTGGAATTTGTGGAGCCTGGAATTGCTCACTCTGTGGGCTGCCAGGAAGTGGGGGGGGGGGGTTGGTGGCGGAGGGAAGCCAAGCTGGGTGGAAGCCAACTTGACCCAGGGCAGACACGTTCTGCATTCCTGAACAGCTGGAGGTGGCAAGAGACAGCTGGGGCACTCACGCCGGCACTCACGCAGGGGCCAAGGGCCACCTCTGCGCCTCAGTGCAGATCTGGGGAGCCCGGTCAAGGTCCCTGCCCATCTGGCCCACCTTTCTACTGGCCAGATTGAGGGATATAGCTTTCTCCATCAGCCTGACCCTGAGGACCCACGGGCGGGAAGTCTCCCAGTTTGGCGATGTCCACTGGCCCAGGTGCTGCCGTCCCTTAGCTGTGTGTTATTGAGCTGGTGGCTTGGCATCCCTGAGCCCCAGTGTCCTAAGCAGGAGAAGTGGGGCTGAGATAAACCCATCCCTCACAGGGTGGTTTTGAGGGTTAAGTGAGCGGATGTGTCCAGGCGAGGGCTGGGCTCTCAGCAGTGCCATGTGCAGAGAGGAGAGGGTCCTGAGGTGGACAGGAGCTTGCTCGCTGGCCCAGGCTGTGTGTGTCTAGCCACTGAGGCTCCGGGCCAGGATGCTGGCTGCCCTTTTTCTTGTTAGTCAGCCTTGGCTCTGCTGGGTGGCGCTCGCACACCTGGCTGGTTGGAACAGCAGCGGCAGGGCGGTGCACGGGCTGGTCCCGATTTTTAACAATTTTTCCCACGTCCTGCGGCGTTTTTAAAAAGTTCCGATTTTTGGAAAGAATGCACTGATAAGCTAGGGTATACGGTTTTTGGCTGCCATGTGGCTATTTCACCAGGATATGATGTTATCAATGGTGTCCAGCTTTACCAATGTTAAAATCTGGTCACCTTAGGTTAGAGCCACTGGTTGGCCGTTGGAAGCCCCCAGCAGTGCCGAGAGAGAAAGACCGGGTTTTCTAACCCACGAGGGGACACGATGAGTCTATGGGTTTTGTTTTCTTGAAGGCTTCGAGCTATTGTCCCCGGGGGCCAGCCATGGCAGGGATGGCGCCTGGGCCCATTCCCCCGTGGCAGAGTCCCCTCCCAGCTCTGACAGGCTGTGGCTGCTGTGGTCAGCTGTGTGTGTGTGTGTGTGTGTGTGTGTGTGTGTGTGTGTGTGTGTGTTGGTGGTGGGGCTGCTCATGTCAGAGAAGGGGTTTTTCTCTGCGGGGTGACTCAGCCTGAAGTCATCGTGGTGGGAGTTGGGGTTCCTGGTGCACAGCCTGCCACTTCCTCTTCCCTCGGCCGGGACCCAGTGGTGGGAGGCCCTTGGCCAGGGCGACCACCAGCTACCTGGCTGGGAGGTGTATAACCACGCTCTCCCTCAAATGGATTTTGCAATGTTTCGACATACTTGTGTCCTCAGTCCCATGTCTGGGGGGGCCAGGGCTTGTTTGATGACCCAGGTGGGGTGCAGGCACAGTGGAGGGGTGGCGGGGACACAGAGCCAATACTGCCACCAATAACAGGGACCCATGCCAGGCGCTGACTGGGCACTCGGCGGGGAGCAAGGCGGCCTGTGTCTGCCCGTGCCCGGGCAGGGCAGGCAGGTGAACCACTCTGGTGACAAGCCAGTGCAGTATCACACCAGGAGCCTGTGTGGGCCCTGACCTTGGACCCCACCATTTACAGCCCTGTCTCCCAGGCATCCAGCGGTGGCTGCCACTGTTCCCAAGAGGAAACGGAGCATCCTGGGCCCCACCGTCTTGAACCTGGCTAGGCAAGCTCTGGCCTTCAGGCCACCTTTGGTCACCACCTGTGTCTGTAAATGGAGCCCTGGCGGTGTATTGGTTATGCATTGGGCTGCAATCTGGATGGTCAACAGTTCGAAACCATCAGCCACAACCACCAGTGGGAGAAAGACTGGGCTTTCTACTCCTGTAAACAGTTTGGTCTCGGAATGCCCGCGTTGGGGCGCCGTGAGCCAGCATGGGCTGGATGGCAATGATAGTTCATATGTCAGTGAAGCTTTATGGGGCCCCCGTCATGCCCATTAGCATCTGCACCATCTGTGGCTAGTTTGGTGCCACCGCCGCGGGCCCAGTTGAGTCCTGTGGTACAGAGTTGCCGCGATCCTTTGGCAAAATGTTGGCAGCCCTCAGAGCTAGAAAGTATGGGGAGGAAACAGAACCCCAGCGGTGGTCTCTGGGCCCCTCTAAAGCCTGCACCTCCAAGCTGGGTGCTGCCCCCCGGAGTGCGGGGTGGCTTCTGGCCTGACTGGCACAGATTTCCTTTGAGACTGACATCAGAGCTTGTGGGCTTCTTCTTCTGTGAAGTAGGGTGACTGTTGTGTCCACAGCTTGGGGTGGTAAGGGGGGACTAAATGAGGTAAGAGGACCTGAAGGAGGATCGCCCTGTTGGCCGGGGGAGGCGGGGTGTGTGTGTGTCACTATCACTGTCCCCATTGCTCTGACTGCAAGTTATTGCATGGGTGGCAGGCAAGCGTGCACGTGTGGGTGCGCGTGGGCGCACATGAGCTCGTGCGTAGTTGTGTTGGCCAGTGGGTCATGGTGGAGGGCCCGGGCCCCCGTGCTGACTCCTCTGCCTCCCTCTCCCGGACAGGGATCCCCGAGAACTCCAAGGTGGAGGGCCCAGCGTTCACGGACGCCATCCGCATGTACCGCCAGTCTAAGGAGCTATATGGCACCTGGGAGCTGCTGTGTGGGAACGAGGTGCAGGTGAGGACGGAGGGGCGAGGGATCCTCTGAAGATAGGTCCAGTGGGTGGGGCCGGGGACAGAGGTGGCTCTGGGAGCGCTGGCATAGAAGATGGCAGAGCAGTCAGATTTGGACAAGTTGGAAGCTGGTGGGTCACGGAGGTGGGAAGGTTTGTTAATTTGTTTACTGAGCCCCGTCCTTGGGCCCTGTGGGTGCAGCAGTGAAGAAGGTGGGCAGGGCCCTGGCTGGGGGGCAGTGGGGTGGGGGGCTTTGTCTACAGGAGCAGCATTCAGCACTTAAACACGCACAAGGCTGCTTACAGGTTGAGGGTTGGCGTGGAGACGCACCATTAAAGAGGGGAGGCAGCGTGTGCATGTCCTGAGCCTGGGGACCCTGCCGGCCAGCCTGGGGCTATGGGAATGGGTGCAGGCGAAAAAGCAGTGGGCACAGAGCAAAGGGCAGCCTGAGGAGTTGGGGAAGCCTTGCAGAAAACCTGCGAGCTGGATCCCCGCTGAGCCCTGCCCCGATTGTGTCTCCCCATCCTAGATCCTGAGCAACCTGGTGATGGAGGAGCTGGGCCCTGAGCTGAAGGCTGAGCTCACACCACGGCTGAAGGGGAAGCCCCAGGAGCGGCAGCGGCAGTGGATCCAGGTGGGGGCCGGGGGCCTGGGCGTGGGGCCAGGCGCGCAGGGCTGGGGTCTGCCGCTGTCCTGGTGGCCTCGGCCCTGATGCTGATGCCCGGCCTCTGCCCGCAGATCTCAGACGCTGTGTACCACATGGTGTATGAGCAGGCCAGGGCACGCTTTGAGGCGGTGCTGGCCAAGCTGCAGCTGGCCCGGCCGGCGATGGAGGCCGTCATCCGCACCGACATGGACCAGATCATCACCTCCAAGGAGCACCTGGCCAACAAGATCCGAGGTAGGCAGGTGCCCGTGGTTCATGCACGGGCTCTGGGCCCGGGCGGTGGCACTCCCTTCTGTGGCTCGGAGACTGAGCGCCCCTGCTGGGTTCCCAGCAGCTGGTTTTGGAAGCAGATGGCCAGACTTCTCCCCGGGTGTTTCTGGGTGGGCTTGACCTTCCAAGTGGGCAGGTGAGGATATTACCTGCTGGCACCAGCTGAGACCCCTACCTCTCAAGACTCATTGCCATCTGAGTCGATACTGACTCATAGTGACCTATCCTATCCTGATACGTTAGGATAGACGTGCCCCTGTGAGTTTCCCAGGCTGTGATGTTGACGTGAGCAGGGAGCCCAGTCCCCGCTCCCAGAGCATGCTGGTGGGATCCTAGCCATTAGGCCACCAGGGCTTCTTAGATCCTGTACAGAGAGGTCTTAAAAAGGGCACCATGCTCCAGATGGACATTCCCCCTTGTGAAACGCAGCTCTGACTTAAGGTTTAACGAGGACATCAGGACAACTGTTTTGGGCCTCTGTTCAGCCTCGAATCAAGTTGCTTCAGTGAGCGTTTTAATTTTGTCCTGCATGTTCCCTCTCTTATGCTGGCTGGAGTTTGAAGACCTCAGGAGCCCAAGGGCCAACGTGGTTCTGAGTTGAGCCACGATCACAGGGTCAGCAGTTCAAAAGCACCAGCTACTCCGAGGGAGAAAGATGGGGCTTTCTACTCCTGTCAAGGGTGACAGTCTGGGAAACTCACAGGGGCAGTGCCACCCTGTCCGAGAGGGTTGTGGTGAGTCAGCATCGGCTTGATGGCAGTGACTTAAAATTTTGTTCAGGAGGCTTAAACCTTCTGCTCATCATTAGCTAAACACAAATTTTTTAAAAACATTTTCCCCCCACCATGTGCGTGGTTAATTTGGCCATGGTGTCTTTCCTATGGCCAGTGTCCCTGGTCTCTTTATTCTCCTGTTTGGTCCCAACCAGATGGGATCCTTTAGCTCTTTGCCACCCGGAGCCTGTTTTGTGCTTCCCGGAGGCTTGTTTTCTCTTACTCTCACAGTTCTGGTGAGCTGGCGAGGGCCGAGCAGGGTGTTTACTTTGTGGGACAGCTGCATGCGCTGGGCACAGGGGGAGGCTCTTTAAACACCTCCTGGGCAAAGGTGTCTGGGCCAGCATGTTCTGGAGCTGGTGCCTGCCCACAAGGGAGACGGCCTGTCACCCGCTGACACAAAGCCCTGCCCTGCTCACCTGGCAGCACAGGACCTGGTGCAGTGTTTTGCAAAACCAAGCAGCTCATCGAAACCTCTGCGGGATTTGTTTTTTGAAACAAAGGAGCAAGATCCCCAGAAAGTTGCTTCCCTTGGCCTCTCGCAAAGCAGAAAACCACAGACACCCGTGAGCCAGCCTTTTCCTCAGTTTCCTCCTGTCACGGTTTCAGAAGTCCCAGGGTCCAGGCTCAGAACTCCTTGTTCTTGCTGGATGGCTTATTGTCTGCATGGAGTATTTCCTTAGGGCACGGGTCCTCAAACTTTATAAACAGGGGGCCAGTTCACTGTCCCTCAGACCCATTGGAGGGTCGGATTACAGTTTTAAAAAAAACAATGAACAAATTCCTATGCACACTGCACATATCTTATTGTGAAGTAAGAAAGCAAAAGGGGCAAAAACACCCAGCGGGCCAGATAAATGTCCTCGGCGGGCCGCATGTGGCCCACGGGCCGTAGTTTGAGGACGGCTGCCTTAGGGTCATTCTGCTGGTTGGTGTTGTCCCTCGTGGTCTTCGTTTGCAGTCAAACTCTGCAGGTCTTCAGCCTGCCTGGGTCTGGGGTGACCCCTGTGCATCCCAAGGGTGCTTGTGAGAAGGGTTTGGGAACGGTCTGAGGGCTTGCTCTGCACCATCTGCTGAGCCAGACAGCTGAACAGAAACAAAACCAAACCAGCCAGGCCGACAGTACCCGGGGTTCTGGGTGGTCTGGAGGGCCTGCCCACCACCCCCTGGAGCCTCTGCCGACCTGGGCTCCCTCTGCGTGCAGCCTTCATCCTCCCCAAGGCGGAGGTATGTGTGCGGAACCACGTGCAGCCCTACATCTCGTCCATCCTGGAGGCCCTGATGGTGCCCACCAGCCAGGGCTTCACGGAGGTGCGGGACGTCTTCTTCAAGGAGGTCACCGACATGAACCTGAACGTCATCAACGAGGGGGGCATCGACAAGCTGGGCGAGGTGAGGCCCGGCACTGCCCCCGTCCCCCCACCCACCCCGCCGGCTTGGTTTTGGGTTCGGGGTAGCTGTGCTGCTGCCCGCCCCTTGTCTTGTATGAAGCGAGGCCTGGGCTTGTACGAAGGGAGGCCACTGGGGACCAGCTTCTGTGAGCCAAGAGGGAAGTCCCACTGACCCCAGCAGTTAGGAGAAGTCCCATCCACGCCCTCTGCCTTGATAGAGCAAGCAGGGTGCTAAAGTGCATGGAATTTAACCCAAAAGGGAGGGAGGCAGAGAAGAGGGAAGACACTTCCTGTGTGGGTAGGCTCGCTAAGAGTGAGAACACAGTGGGTGGGCGCCAGGGCGTGCACCCCACAAATGGTGGCAAACCGCCTCTCCTGGGCCCTCAGCCATTTGATGACCTGGGTGTACACGCACCGTCCCACGGGCAACGATGTCGGGGCTGTCGGACCCCGGAGCCCCACGTAGTGGTCCTGTTCACACCCCACCATAGGGCGCCCAGAGGTGTTAATAATCATACCATCTGAGAACCGAGAAGGCTCTTGGAGATGATCGGAGATGACGCCTCGCGTTTCGAGGCGCAGGAAAGCAAGGCTCAGAGAGGGCATTGCTCAATCCCGCACCCCCACCCCAGCCTTGCTGCCCACATACCTGCCAGCATCTCTGCGTGGGGCCCTGTGCCAGCCCACGCACCCCCTGCCTCCAGACAGCCCTCCTTCCCTTCCCTGGGCCCAGGCAAGTGTGGAGTGTCACGTGCCTGGCACCGGTCTCACGTGTGTCGCCCCTCCGCAGTACATGGAGAAGCTGTCCCAGCTGGCCTTCCACCCACTCAAGATGCAGAGCTGCTACGAGAAGATGCAGCCCCTGCGGCTGGACGGGCTGCAGCAGCGTTTCGACGTGTCCAGCACGTCTGTGTTCAAGCAGCGAGCCCAGATCCACATGCGTGAGGTGCGGCCCCTCTGCTCCCCCTGGCCCCCGGGGCCCACAACTGACCACATAGCCCCCCCCTTCGCCCTCCTCAGCTCTGGCGCTCCCCATCCGCTCTCAGGGAGTCTCCCTTGTCCCCCCAGGCCCATTGCTGGTTTCTGTGTTACCTGTCTGCTGTAAGCGTGAGTGAGTGAGTGAGTGAGTGAGTGAGTGAGTGAGTGAGTGAGTGAGTGAGTGAATGGATAGGTAAATGAAGGGGTGGCAGGCCTGGGGTTGCCTCAGCCATGTGGCAAGGGCTGTGGTCACTCGGGCTCACCTGCTCTGGGCGGTCCCCGGCAGCAAATGGACAACGCTGTGTATACCTTCGAGACCCTGCTGCACCAGGAGCTGGGGAAGGGGCCCACTAAGGAGGAGCTGTGCAAGTCCATCCAGCGGATCCTGGAGCGGGTGCTGAAGGTGAGCACCCCTGCTGGGCCTGATGGGAGGTGCCTCCTTGTAGTGGGAAGGACACAGAGGCTGAGGGCGGGAGGCCAGGGGGGCCCACCGCTCTGGCCCAAGCCCACAGACCCCTGCCCTCCCTCCTCGGTAGAAATACGACTACGACAGCAGCTCCGTGCGGAAGAGGTTCTTCCGGGAGGCGCTGCTGCAGGTCACCATCCCCTTCCTGCTCAAGAAGCTGGCCCCCACCTGCAAGTCGGTGAGCACCCCCCACCCCACATGCTCGTAGCCAGCTCTTGGCCCGCTGCCCCCTCTGGTCCTGGAGAGCCGGCTGGGCTGGGTGGAGCCGACAGCCCCCTGCCTGGCCTGACCGCCCGGTGTCTGCAGGAGCTGCCCCGGTTCCAGGAGCTGATCTTTGAGGACTTTGCCAGGTTCATCCTGGTGGAGAACACCTACGAGGAGGTGGTGCTGCAGACCGTCATGAAGGACATCATGCAGGGTACGCCACCAGGGCTGGCCCCGCCTCTGGGCCGGGCCGGAGAGTGTCCCGAGGCAGCGCAGGGTGGGGGCGGGGCCCGCATCACGGAGGTGCAGATTAAAGCCCGAGCTTGGGATATAGCGCCCACGTTCGGCTGTGTGCCCTCCGGAGCTCGGTGTCAAGTCTTGGGGCGTCGTCCCTTGCGGGTCCGGGGTGTTGCTGGGGGGAGCTCAGATGGCCGTGCGATGCGCCAGTGGGCCCTGGTTCGGGGTCGCAGCTCCCAGTGGTGCGGCCTGGACAGGTCCTCATTGCCAATCACCGTCGGCCCCTCGGGCTGTCAGATTTGGCCCCGCCCCGCCCTCCTGGGCCGGAGTGGGCTGCCTGACCCCTTGCCCCGCTCTGCCTGCAGCTGTGAAGGAGGCGGCCGTGCAGCGGAAGCACAACCTGTTCCGGGACAGCGTGGTCATGCGCAATAGCGACCCCAACCTGCACCTGCTGGCGGAGGGCGTGCCCATCGACTGGGGCGAGGAGTATGGCGGCGGCGGCGGCAGCCCCCACCCCGAGGCCCCCGATGGGGCCGGCCTCTCCGAGAAGCGACGGCGCGCCAAGCAGGTGGTGTCCGTGGTCGGGGATGAGGAGCTAGGGCTGCCCTTTGAGGCCAGCCCGGAGCCACTGTCACCTGCGTCCCTGGACAGTGTCACGGAGCTCCGTGGCATGCTGGCCCAGGATCTGCGAGCTGAGAGCCCCCCACCGGCTGCCCCCCTGCTCAACGGGGCCCCTGCCCACGAGAGTCCCCAGCACGTGGCAGACTCGGAGGCCTCCTCACCGCCCAGCTCGCCCCTCCCGCACCTCTCCCCGGACAAGGCCTCGGACCTTGAGCCTCCCAAGCCCAGTGACCAGGAGACCGGGGAGCAAGTATCCAGCCTTGGCGGCCGCCCCCCCATCCACACCACCACGGAGAACAGCGCGGGGGTGCAGACTGAGTTCTAGACTCGCCCGCCCGGTGCTTTTCTTGGACAGGGCACGCCCCGCAGGGCACTGGCCTGGCTCCGTGCTGGGCCAGGAGGTGCCCCATCTGTGCCTTATGGGGTGTGGAGGGGCAGGGCTGGGCGGCACCTCCAGACGTCGGGCAGGGAAGGGCCCACCTGAGTCACTTTATTGGGTTCAGTCAACACTTTATTTTGCCCCCCGCTTTCTCTTCTGCTGGATGATCTCGGACGCACGTCTGGGTTCGGGGCTCTCCTGCTGTGCCGCGGCTGGGCCTGGGCAGCTCCCAGGGCTGCCTGCGAGGCGGCACCCCTTGCTTCTGGCCCGTCTGTGGCCTCGGTTTCTCACGTGGTTCTTGCCAGCCTTTTCGGAAAGAGGGAGATAAAGGCATCGTGTTCGGCACATCTAAGCCAGTGGGTTCTCTTCCTTCTCACCAGGGGGCCCACTGGGACTGGGCAGGGAGAGGGGAGCCCCAAGCTGTGCTTTCAGAGAGGACCCTGGCCTGTCCCCCACCAGGGCCAGGGGAGGTGCTCCCTGGAGGAGGGAGTGGGTCTTCAGGCTGGTGCTGGAGGTGGACTATCTCATGGAGACGGGGGTGGGGTGCCGGGACTGAAGTGGGATGAGGGAGGCAGAGAAAGTGCTGGTGGGCAGAGGCAGGTGTTCCGTGGGGAGATGTCAGGGACATTTGGGTGGAGGTTCAGATGCCAACACGAGGGTGGCCGGCTGGCAGAGCTGGGTCTTTGCCTCGCTTCTTCCCCACCCCCAGCCCGTTTCATTCACTGGAGACCTGCAGTCTGGGGTCCCTGTTACCTCCCTCCCCCACCTCCCTCTACATCCACAGCTTTAGGCTGAGGCCTGAGGCAAGTGGGGCAAAGTCGGTCAAAGGCAGGTGATTCCTGGGCTGTGGATTCTTGAAGGTGCTTTGGGCCACCTTCAAGGTACACACTGCTTGCCCAGGAGGCTGGGAAGGCCCATTAGGGCTCCCCAATAAGGACTCTTCTAGGCTTTGGCCTGAGATTCCAGGCAAATGTCCTTGTGAATCACTTCCGGGCTAGCCTGGCCCTCCTCAGCTTCTTACTTCTGGGGGTGAGGGTCAAGCCCAGGCAGCCCTGCTGTGGCAGACCCCCACCCCCACCCCCGGGACCAGAACCTACTGGCCTCCCTCCCTTGTTGTTGAGGAAGGGCAGGCAGGCAGACACTGACACCCTCCGGGGTCCCCTCTCCCACCCTCCCCGGCCCTGTGAGTCCTCCTTCCACCAGAGAGACCTGGTCTTCATGGTGTAGGTCTTAGACCCACAGGCTGAGGGAGTCCAGTCCCTGCCCCGGCCCCTCTCCCACCAGTGAGGTCCGTCGAAGATGCTCTCCTCTGGTGCCTTCTATGGGGGTTTTCCAACCAGCCTTCCCATATATTGTATTGGAAACATTATTCAAACTGTTTAAGCATCTACTAATCAATAAATGCTTTATTTAAAAGCCAGGGCCTTGTGTGTGCTACGGGTGGGCGTTGGGAGCGCTCAGTGAGGGCTGGCAGGAGCCATCGGCCAGGAGCCCCCTCCGCAGCCTTCTAGGGGCCTGTAAGTCCAGGGCCAAGTGTTCATGATCCCATTTTACAGGGAAGACCTAGGCCTCCCAGAGGAGCGGCTTGTGCAAGGCTCTGGAGCAGGAAGCTCAGGCGGCGTCGCAACTGCAGGAGTGGCTCTCGCCAGGTGGAGCCCGGATGAGCCTGGGCACGGCCCCCAGGGCCCTTCCTTACTGCTGCCCACGTGTGCGCGTGCTGCACAGCCTGAGGCTCTGGGCTACACAGCTGGCTGAGGGAGCACTTCCTGAGGCCAGGAGCCTCCCGGTGGCTCCGGGAGTGGGGAACGATCTCATCACTATTTGTCAGTGGGTAAACTGAGGCCCAGGAAGAACCAGGTTGAGGTTATGCCCATCAGAGATGAGCCGCCCTCCATGGCGTGAGACCCAATCACTAGAACAGGACTCCACCCACAGAGGCATTTCCTTTAGCTGGGGGGGGGGGGGTCGGCGGGACCCATGGCTTCCATTGAGATAGGGAAACAGGCCCGGACTTGCTCTTTCTGCACCCCACCCCCTCGATACCCAGCCTGCTCTTGTGAGCACCGGGCCTGGGCTGAGCACTCAGGACGCTGTGGTGGTCATCAGCCTTAGTTAGGGCCCCACCCAGCCCCATACTGCGAGATGGGGAGTCAGCCCAGGGCAGGGCCCAAAGGGAAGGTGCCCTTTGCCTGGGGCCACCTGACATGACCTGTCCTAGACGCCACTCCAGAGCACGGCTCCACCCGCCTGTCAAAGGAGCTTGCTCTACTGCCTGGGCGTGGCCGCAAACCCAGGCCCTGCCCCCCACCTGTACAGAAGGGACTTCTGGACAACCCCATGTTCTGTGCAGGTGCTGCTTCCCCGTTTCCTCGTGACTGGGGGGGGGGGGGCACACTTGGGCCCCCGAGGGCTGGGACCATTTAGAAGGAATACTCCGGAGATCGATTTATTGATTTTACAGACTTTCCTGCTTTAGGTTTGCCCCCGAACTACGTGGGGTGTGAGGTGGTGCAGATCTGCGGGGTGGGGGTGGGCAGCACACTGGGTGGCAGAGGAGAGGGAAGGGGTTGGGGGAGGTGGGTGACTGCTTGGGACACAGCCCAGCCTTCAACACGCTCCGACCAGCCAATCCCAGCACAGCCTGCAGCCGATGGCTGCGTGCACGCTGGTTGGGCCAGTGCCCCCTGAGCCCGAGACTCCGGACACAGTGCCCTCTGGTAGCCCTACCTTGGCCAGGCACTCATGCCTGTGCTTGAGTGGCCCCGTTGCCCCACCCTGCCATCTGTGCCCAGTCCCCAGCTGCAAGGGGCTCTGACACCGTCCGCCAGCCCTGTTCTCTGTCCACAGGATTCAGACCAGGAACAGCCCCCTTCCCCGCACCCCGTCATGCTAGGAGATGAAGGGGGGCTCCTGAGGCCGTGGGGCGCGGCCTGGCTGGAGCCAGTGCTCAGCCGCTGTGGTAGATGCGCAGGCGCTGGATGATCTCCTGGCGGCACAGCGGGCAGATGCGCAGGGACTGGCAGCACTGCTGGCAGCAGCATACGTGGCCGCAGTTGAGGAAGATCATCTGGGCCTGCGGGGAGAGAGAGCAGCGTGTCGGGGATGAGGGACTGACAGCGGGTCCCCCTGCTGCCCCCACCCCCACCCCAGGGGTTTCCCCGGAAAATGGGTCAGAGCGCCCATTGTAAGCCACTCACCAACTTGGTGGCAAATGAAATGAGAAGATAGTGGGATTTTCCCACGAAGGTTTGAATCCCCTCTACATACGTACATGGCGAGTGAGAACTGAAACCTTTAGCTAACAGTTTGGGACCCGTTTTGTAAAAGAACATTCCCCGCTACCCCGCCCCTTCATTTCACCAACCACCACCACCAAACTCTGCCTGGCGGCTGATTCTGACTCACAGAGACGCTGCAGGGCTTCATGACTAAGTCTTTCCTGACAGCCTCCCACAGAGGGGCTGGTGGGTTTGAACCGCTAACCTTGTGGTCAGCCGTCCAACACTTTCCCTACAGCACCACCAGGGAGGGCTGTAGTGTCTGCAGAGCCCGGGGCATGGTGGGTTAGTCTGAAGCGCTCACAGGCGCAGGCCCTCACAGGGGCAGCTCTACCCAGCCCTACAGGGGCTCCGAGTGGGCACCGACTCCATGGCAGTGAGTTTTGGAGTTAGTTAGAGTCTGTGTGTGCTCCACGTCGGACTCCCCTGCCTCTCTGCCTGCCCTGGGCGTTTGGGTCCTGTGTCACAGGTATGTGGTGTCTGTCTGTCCGGGAGGAGCTTGGCTTGCTCAGCCAGCCTGTGATGCCGGGACAGTGCTTTTTTGCCTCTTTGTGCATCTGTCCAGCCCCTACGCTCTTGGTTCTGAGAGGTGGGTTGTGCAAACCAGCCCTGCTACAGCATCTCCTCTCGTCCGTCTCTCCTGAGGAAACGAGCGGCCCTCAGCTGTTTGCTACAACGCTGTCCGTGATGCAGGGGATCCGGAAGCTGCAGGAAGGGCTCACCTACACAGTTTTGCTTACAATTATAACCAACTGGCGGCTCCACCCCAAGGCATGCCTCGGGCATGGCGGGTGTCCTGGGCACTTGATGGGGCCACCGCAGAGGAGCGTCTACTCATGCTGCAGTTTCCATCACTAGCTAATAGCCGCAGATCTGCCCTGCCCGCCTCCATCTCATGGACCACGGGGGGCAGGTCCTTCTAAGCAGAGCACACTAGAGGTTGCACTGGGCTGAGGTGTCGCTTGGAGGACTAAGGTGTGCCTGACTCCAGCCTGGGATGTTCACTCCTCTCCTCTGCACGTGGAAGCCAGGCTGAGGAAGGAGGACCCAAGAGTTGATGCCTTTGAACTCCGGTGAAGGATATTGACTATACCATGAACTGCCAGAAGAACAAATGATTCGGTCTTTGGAAAAACCAGAGTGCCCCCTCGAAGCGAGGGCGGGGAGGCTTCATCTAATGCAGTGTGGACAGGTTGTCAGGAGGACCGGTCCCCAGAGGACATCCTGCTTGGTGAAGCGGAGGGTCG